CATCGTGTTTAGCTGAGCCTCACTCCTTTGCCCCCTGTCCCATTATCCTGTCCCGATGTCACCTGCTCAGGCTCAGGACACACACACATACACAGTAAGCGCCACGTGATCCACGTGCCTGCTGTCAGCCCAGAGCTTTCCCAGGACCCCGCAGAGCCTCTTCTTATGGGCATACATAGGGTGGTGGGCGTGACCTTTAGGAGATAGGAAGATAACAGACACTTTCCCACAGTGTCATGGCCAGGCACACTGACTTCTGAGGAACCCAAGTCACTCAAGACCAAAGAACATGGGTGAGTAAGTGATGTCCCATCAGCAGCTGCAGCTCACACCCTCAAAGCCTGTATCGCTTTACACTTTTCATAATCTATGTTTCTCTTAAGAGTTTCGCCAGGCATGGTGGTTCATGCCTGTAATCCCAGCATTTTGGGAGGCCGAGGCGGACGGATCACCTGAGGTCAGGAGATCAAGACCAGCCTGGCCAACATGGCAAAACCTCGTCTCTACTAAAAATACAAAAATTAGCCAGGTGTGGTGGCGGGCACCTGTAATCCCAGCTACTCAGAAGGCTGGGGCGGGAGAATCACTTGAACCTGGGAGGTGGAGGTTGCATTGAGCCGAGATCATGCCACTGCACTCCAGTCTGGGTGACAGAGCGGAGTTTCAAGAAATACCCTGATGGTACTCCAGTTTGCCTTTTATTTTCTGTCCTGTGCTGAAATAAGGAGTCAGTCTAGAGGCATATAGGAAATCAGCTCTCTCCTTGCAAGTAGATTCCTATGGCACTACTAAAAAAATCTGCATAGCAAGCTTCATGCTAATGGCTTTCAGTTATGCTTGCCTAATGATGCCCAAGCTCTTACAAATTCATCCTCTTTTTATTACTGTGCTGTTCTTTAAAAAAAAAAAAAAATCAGTAATACTTTGGATTCAACATGTAACTAGACAGGAAACTTAAAAGAAACACTTGTAGAAAGTTATCTTAACAAGGTCAAGATTGTTCCCATTATTGTTTACAATAACTTTCATGTTCCTCTTAATTTTATTTTGTTTTCTTGAAATATAGGAAGGGGTTGTATTTTGGTATTCTTGGATCAGTTACAACTAAGACAGTACCTCAAGGGTACTGGTACTTCATTGCACACTGGCTGGGTATTTTGTGTTTCTCAAGTATATCTTACAGAGTACTGAAAATAATTCTTTTGTGGAATGAGAAAATCAAGAGCATTTGGATACTTAAGTGGCAGATAATAATGCCATAATTTAGTATTTAGTATCTTCATAGTGGTTTAATTTAGCAGCTTTAATTTTTTTAGACCATTTCCTGACTTCATCTTCTCTTTTTCACCATTTGTACCAGAATCTCGGTGACTCCATCTAGACAGGGGACTCCCCCTAGCATATGAGAAATACACCCCAGTCCAGCCTCTGGGCCTCCGTCTCCCCAATAATCTCAGGTGTTAATACCTGCATGTGCGTTCCAGTAGCTGAACCCACATTCCTTTAATCTTCCTCTGTTTTTAATGAATGGCTCTCAAAATGCATATTCAGTATATGCTTTGAGCCATATGAAATACACTTTCAAAATGCAATATTCGTTGCCAAAAGAAAAAGGTTTCGTTTAATGAATCTGTACAAATAGTGACAGCATTCCCTCTTTTATCTCTTTCCAGCACAAGCATGACTTTATTGTGAAATCCAGGTGCAGTCATGTAGTCACTGTATCTTTCCTTACTCCAGAAAGGCAGACTATTAACTAAAGCCTAAGAATGGAGTGCGTTTCTCTGTTAACCATTTATTAAGTCAACAAGCTAAGTAATGACTACATTTTTCTTTCTAATGTGCCTGCAGTATTATGCATTTAGCAATATTATTCCTTGAACAGATGTGTCTTTTCACAGTCATCTTCCTTTCCTGTGAACATAGGATTTCTTCTTAATTGTATGCTTGTAAGCTTGCAACTGCTTCGAAAGGTGCTTCTAAACACACACTGAGATCCCTCCGTGCTGAGAGCCAAGTGACATGAAAACCACAACATCATCAAGAATGGGAGCAGCCGGCTCCCCACATCAAGCACCCAATTAGCTCGTATTCTTTGGCTAAATATACTCTGCAGCCAATCCAGTCACCTCAGTGCTTTGATTTCAGAAGCTTTAGAAATACCTGGAGTTACTTGAATGTGGCAGTATTCAAAATACAAAAGATAAGGAAGAAGCATTTCACAATCAGTCAGCAAACTATAGGACTTGACAGCAAAGACATTGAAGGTTACATCAAATTCCTTCCACGTTCGCATTTTGAATAACTAAGCACATTAACCAGTTTTGTGCTCAGCACTTCCCTTTATCAATAAAAAGGAGTATTCACAAAGAATCAATATCTAAAGCACATCGGGCAACTACTACACTTTTATGATTTCCTCAATGCTAAGTGTTAACAAAGAAAACCTTGCTACTGTACTTTTGAAAGACACCAATGGAAGCTGACAACCAAATTGATATCATTTTTTTCTTATAAAAAGTATAATGAGCTCTTGGGTCACCTTCAAAATATGGTCACATTCTTTCCCTGGAGTAGAGTTACTGTGGGATCAAGTGACTGAAAAGGCGAGGAGAGGAAATAAAACGATTGCTCAGCAGGACAAGTGTGGTGCTGCTGTCCTCGCCTGCGTCTCTGCCCACAGCAAGGTCATGGAAATTCAGCGTGAGCCCAAGTGGTTCTTCAGCAGCAGACACTCATGGACATGATCCTGGCACTCTCTGGTGTTTGTCTGACAGCTGCGTGTGCTTCAGCCACGGCTGCAGTAAGTGACCTACCGGGTTCTGCGGAGGAAGCCTGGCCCTACCATTCCCCGTTGAGTCAGGAGGTCAAGTGAGAATTCCACTGATGTCTTTAAATAGTCTTGGCTGCAACAAGCTAACGTGGGGGAGGATTCTGGAGTGTGCCTGGGTGCGCCTGGCAGTGATAGGCAGGTCCCCAGTTGCTGCTGGAGGGGGAATTCGGAGGAGACTTCCTTAGCTGCCTCCAAGTGACACTGGTAAGGTCTGTGTGCAATGGTTCAACAGAAGACTTCATGCACAAATGTGCTAATGGAACTATGGTATCTGGTGATAACAGCAGAAATTGGCTTCCTTCTTTTATGGGTGGGAAAATTGAATTGGGGTCTGTTGGGAAAAATCACTTGCTCTATGAATAAGCTATACGGACCCCCTTTGAACAGCTTTTAGAAAAAGCAAGTATTTTTCACAGTACAATTGCCTGAGCTCAGAACCTGAGAGTGAGCTGACCACTGCCTCAACGCTTTGCTGTTCTTTCCAAATCAGGCAAGTGCAGAGGTGGGGAGGAATTAGGGTTTGATGGCTGCAGGGAAGGAAGGGGTTGGCTGATTTGTCCCAGTTGTGCTCTTTGCTTACTGTTCTCTGGTTACTGAGACTTAGGAGCTCAGTCTAGTCTACACCCCACAGTGTGCTATTCTTGCCGCAGCCCATTTTTTCGTATCTTTCTTGAGCAGGGATCACATCTTGCTGCAGATGCTTCTACTCACATCGTAGAAACCATGTGAGTCTGTCTCCTCCTCCAACCTGGGAGCTCCGTGGTAGGAGGAACAAGTGTTGTTCTTCTCAGGTTTCCCGCCCAGTGTCCAGACTGGAAAAGGTGCTAATAAATATAAGTTAAATTGAATTAAACTAAGAATACTGAGAAGTTATACAAGTCTTGGCAGCAACCCCAAATGCTAAGTTTTGGTATAGTTTGCTATAACTTTGTAGACAAATGTGCCAAGAAATCAGAACAATTGGCTCTTCGTAGACCTGAAGGTACTTGATTTTCTTCAGTGTCATATTTTCATTCTGATTCTTTAGTTCTAAATCAATATTAACGTGTGGCTCTTGGCTGCTGCCATAGCAGTAAGGTCCGGTGACCTTTGGTGCCGGAACTCTGTCACTGCTTGCCCTGGTGTCTGTATTTCACTAACAGCTGTGTACTCTTAAAATAAAAAACAAGCTTCATGTTTTTATAGAGCCTTTTTTCCAAGGAGCTTTTAAATGTCATTAAACTCATTTTTTTAAAATATTAACATGGGAAAGTCAATATTACCCTCCTCCAAATTGTAAAAGGGTAATTACTTTTTTGCATGACTTGTCTATGTCTTTCCCCCTCTTTGCTGCCTTTTGGTCATTGTTGGCCAAGTTATCCCATTTAGTAGTTTATCTCTGAGAGGGCAGATGTAGTCATGGAGAAGTGAAATTAGAATGGGATCATTTGATGATTGCCTAGTGTCTAGCAAAGAAGTTCAAGGACATGACAATGAGTGGAAGATGATTGGGAAGGAAGGTTGAAATATACATTAAATCAGTTCATATTTATTATCTGAAAGCCATCCTTCTACCCATTACTCACCACCAGACATAAGCATGAGTGGCTTGGTTATTCCTCTACAGCCGCATGAAAGAAAAATTCCTATGATTGTCCCCCAAAACTCAAGGGGAAAGCTCTGCCTGTTTTGGTCACTGGGGACAGAGCCCACTGTGGTTTGCCTTTTGGTCCCAAGTGATGCTTCATGGAGGCTGATGGAGGAATGTGTCTTGCCGTTGCTACCTGGCCACAGGTTGCTGGTTCAAGGGTAGAAACTATCTGAAACCAAGTTTCAGCACCTCATACTGTACTTGGCACACAGTACTTAGCAAATATTTGCCTTTTGAATTACATGGAATTCAGACCTGTTAGGTATCCACTCTCCCAAGGGCTGAATCTCACTGCTCCTCAGAAGAATCAGAACTGTTAGTTCTCTTTGGGGAAAACCAACCCCCTTTCAATTTATGTTTAGGATGAGATGAAGATGATAATCCAGAGGTTATTAAGAATATACAGAGTTAAAAGCAAATACCTCCTTAACATGGATGTTCAACAGCGACTTAGCAAATATTAACAAAAGCATTGCCAGACACTAAGGGTGAGAGTAGAAAGCTGAGATGAGAGAAGTACCCCGGTTTACCGAGTCCAGGTGAGTTGTCTCCCATCCAGGCCTCCAGGACCCACGTCATGTGTGTTTTTTGTCCTTCAGGTAGCCGAAGAGCATCTCCAGGCCCCCCTCCACCAGCTCCGGCAGAGGCTTGGATAAAGGGTTGTGGGAAATGTGGAGCCCTTTGTCCATGGGATTCCAGGCGATCCTCACCAGTCTACACAGCAGGTGGAGTTCGCTTGGGAGGTTCTGGATGTCGTTGCTGTTGAGGTTCAGCAGCTCCAGGCTGGTGACCAGGCAAAGCGACCTCGGGAAGGAGTGGATATTGTTGGCCTCTGCGATGAAGATCTGAAGGCTGGTCAGGTGCTGGATGCTCTCAGCGATGTTTTCCAGGCGATTCGAGCCCACGTGCAAGAAAATCAGTTCCTTCAGGGAGAACACACACATGGGGATGTGCGCGAAGAGGTTGTTGCTGAGGTTCAGCTTCCTCAGTCTGGAGAGGTCAGCGAAGCACGCAGGGAGCTGGGACAGGCAGTTGTGCGACAAGCTCAGGACCTCCAGCTTTCGGCACAAGCTCAGCTCGGCCGGCACCTCGGTCAGGCAGTTCATGTTGACAAACAGGACCCTGAGGCCTTGCAGGAGGCTCACTTCTCTGGGCAGGCTCTTCAGGCGGTTCCCGCACAAGTTCAGGACCACGATCCGGGTCAGTTTCCCCACCTCGGGAGGGAGAACCCGGAGCTGGTTGTGAGACAGATTGAGTTTCTGGACCTCGGACAAGCCCCACAGAAAGTCGGGGATGTCTGTCATTCCTCTGGTGACCAGGCTGAAGCTGACGTGGTGCATGCCTCGCTTCAGCAGAGACCGCGGGTCCCTTCCCGGGAGCAGGGCATCGTCCCACGGAGAAAACTTCTGTCTCCTCCCCGTGAACAGTATCCTCTTGGGGCCCTTATCCTTGGAGCTGGCCCTTGACTGCCTGGCCCCCATCGTACCTTCCCTTCTATTCACTCTCCTCTGCCACCTCCCAGCAGGGACTGTGTCCTCTCAGCTGCTAAAAGCCAGGCTGTTGCAGGCAGGGAGCCTGCGTCCGGGTGAGAACCCACTTGTGACTAGGCGGTCCTAGCGTGGAGAAAGCTGCCTGGAGAGTCTTGATCAGGCCTTGCAGGTATCCGAGACAGGTCCCTGGGTGGCTGCAGGAGCTGTGCCTGTCCCCCAGCGTTTAGGTGTTTTTTCTCTGAGCAGCTGGGCTGTAATGATATACTTGTCCAGGAGGCTGCTAAACTGCTCAATTCCCTCTGAATGCCACAAGGCAGCTGTCACTGTCACTCTGCCTGAGTTTTATTGACCGGGTACATGCAAACAGGTCACAGGAAGGCTGCATATAACTTTACTCTCTCAGCTTTTCTTGGGTGTCACAGTTGAGGAGGGTGATTAGCAAGCCCATGTCTAAAAAGAAGTAAAGTGGAAAAACAGAGCAGGTCACACGAGCACCGGCTGGTGGCAGGATTGCGGGAGCTCAGCCAGACAACTTCACAGTGAACCTGGGCTCCGTGCTAGCAACAGTTGTGTCTCCAAAGCTAAGGCTCTGCAGATGATCTCGTAGGTCCCCGTTCCAAACCTCGATGAACTGTATGTTTGTGAAAACATGACAAAAGCAGCCCGGATACCTGGAATCGTCCAGGTCAAAGGTTTTTATCCTGTGCTTGTCAGAGGTGATTTGGTGAGAAGGGGGTTGGGAGGGATCTCAGCCCCTCACTCCCATTTCAGCCAGAGAAGCTCTGGGCTCATCTGTCTTACAGAGACCTTCTGTATTTAGTAGGATGTGCTTTAAATGTTTGAACAGCCACTTGAGTGGCCACCTCAGTATGGTAAGCACGGGCCACGCATTGTCCTGGAAGGATATAATGAGGCCCCCCTCACTATGCACCATTCTCTTTCTCTCTCTCTCTTCTCCTCCCTGTCTTTTTATTTATTTTTAATTTTTTATTTATTTCTTTTTCTTTTTCTTTTTCTTTTTCTTTTTTTTGACGGAGTTTTTGCTCTTGTCGCCCAGGCTGGAGTGCAGTGGCATGATCTTGACTCACTGCAACCTCCACCTCCTGGGTTCAAGTGATTCTCCTGCCTCAGCCTCCCAAGTAGCTGGGATTACAGGTGCACACCACCTCACCTGGCTAATTTTTGTATTTTTGGTAGAGACAGCATTTCACCATGTTGGCCAGCATGGTCTTGACCTCCTGATTGAGGCGGGTGGACCCGCCTCGGCCTCCCCGTCTTTTTCATGAATTAAAAAAGTTAACTTATACCTTAAGTTTGCACAATTAATTGTTGGTGTTATGGGCTGAACTGTGTCCCCTCACCCTGCCCTCAAATTTCGTATGCTGAAATTGTAACCCCCAGTATCTCAGAAGGCGCTGCGTTTGGCGATTGGGCCAAGTGAAGACGTAGGGAGAAGGCAGCCACCTGTGAACCAAGGAGAGAGGCCTCAGAAGAAGCCAACACCTTGATCTCAGGCTTCCAGTCTCCAGAATTGTGAGAAAAATACATGTCTGCTGTTTCAGCCACCCAGTTTCTTAGAGCAAGCCTGGCAAACTGACGTAGTTGGGGAGGAGGCGGACACACGTCTGCACAGGTGAAAAATCCTAAAAATACGTAGTGAGAAGACAAGGGGTATCAAGGTGCTGACCTAGGTTCTGAGCACAGGGCTTGTGGCCCTTGGCAAGGGCTGGTTTGGCCTGGAAGGGTGGGGTTTTTACTGCTATGTGTCCTGGAGACCCCTGCTGCTCCTGGGACTCTGACCTCACAGGGATGTTGCCACCAACCCAAGAGTTGTCACTGGGTCCTAGCTGTGTGCTGCCTGGGGAGCCTGGACGTCCATCCACACCCAGGGTGCAGGATCTGACCAGGAGGAGCAGCAGAGGCAAAAACAAGGGGAGGCCAGTTCTCTCTCCACATGCCATTTGAAAGAGATCTGACCCCTTTGAGTCAGCCCCAGGGATTCTGGACAAAGGTGGAGACTTTGCACATGCTTTTTATGAGGCACTTGAGTGTTGTAGTTAACAATTGTGGTGGCTTGCGTGGGAGCAATGTGGCTAAATTTAGACCCTAAGTTTTTGGAGCAGACCATGCCTTATATATGTAAATTTCACATGGTTCTGTTAAAAAAAAAAAAAAAAAAAAAAAAAAAACAGAAAAAGAAAAGCTAGCTGTGCTTCCTCTTTCCTTCCATAAGCCTCAGAAATTATGCTAGAGTACTTGAAATGTGGGGAATTGCAGTACCTGGGATGGTTTGAGAAAAATATCAGTAAGTTTCTTCTTGTGACAATTCTCTGTCTTCCCCCTTAATACATTTTTTCTAATAAATATTTCTTGAGCACTTATCAATAGCCAATATTCATCAGATGTTTACTTATGTAAAAGTCACTGTAGCCCTCACTTTATAGGCAGAATGGGTATTAAAATTATCTCCATGTTACAGATGAGGAAAGGAAGATAGACAAAGGTAAGTTACTTATACAAAATCAACTCACTTACCCAAGATCAAGTAACTAGTCAATGGGAGAACCAGGATTCAATCTTAGTTGGTCCGCACAGAGCTCAGGCTGGGAAACACAAGAAGACGCTGGTCTTCTCTCTGTAGAGAAGCAAAGCAACTCTGGCTAGGACACGATCCCTTGCTTTCAAGTGCCAGGGTGTAGGATTGATGGAGCACAGGTCAAAAAATGACTACATTACTCCATGCATAGAAGTAACTACACAGGGCCGGGGGTGGTGACTCACGCCTGTAATACCAGTACTGGGAGGCTGAGGCGGGTGGATCACCTGAGGTCAGGAGTTCGAGACCAGCCTGGCCAACATGGCGAAACCTTGTCTCTACTAAAAACACAAAAAATTAGCTGGGTGTGGTGGCAGAGAGCTGCAATCTCAGCTACTCGGGAGGCTGAGGCAGGAGAATCGCTTGAACCCAAGAGGTAGAGGCTGCAGTGCGCTGAGATCGCCCCACTGCACTCCAGCCTAGACAACAGAGTGAGACTCTGTCTCAAAAAAAAAAAGAAAGAAAGAAAGAAATAACTACACAGCTAGATAGCAACCCTGTTTACCTTATGCCAGCATAACCAGGAAGAGCAAAAGTTAAACTATCATTCCAGAAAACTTCAGAGTGATGGATTTAGCGCCTCCAAAAACAGCTCAGGTCTTCTCCAGAGAGGTTCTCATATATCAGATGGACGAGCTGAGTCACTAGCTGACTTGTTTTCTTCTAACTTTTTGAAATGTAAATGCTGCCCACTCAGTGACTGTCAGTTATCCGGTCAGCACATAGTTCTCTGAGAGGACATTCCTTGTCCCTGGTCTCAGTTTTCCCCTCTATGAAATGGGTCATTTGGAGGGGATAATGGCCGAGAGCCCCTTTCCCAATCTCCCAGTCTGATTCTCACTACAGATGAGGCCACTTGTGAGAAAGTGAAAGGCACATTTAATCCCCTTTCTGGTAAAAGTATGCAAAATCCAAGACAGCCTTCATTTTTGTAACTTTTATGTTCGTCCTGGGGAATAAACACTAACAAGGAAATGTTGTTGGCTTTAGGGTTCTCTATACTGTGTAGACCACACATTTGACCTTTACCAAAAGAGACTTTTCAGGGCTCTCTGAATGGAATGCAGCTTGAAATAACTCTCAGAACATTGTTGGACAATTTTTTGAAATTCCAGGGCATTGTAAGTAATGTGATTATATTTAAAACCTAAGGAGCCTGGAGAATAATTGAAATGCATTTAATATGGTTGACATGTTTACTACATTGCTGTATGTTCCAGATGATTGTTCCAACATATGAAAATCAATATGAATTATTTTTTTAAACCTAAGTAATATAAAACTGAAATAATGAGAGTGTAAAATAGTAGGTTATGAAAACATCTGAAGCTACTCCTGAATTCACACTAATGGAATATCTACAGAAAGAATATTTTTTATTCTCACTATGACTTTTCAGCTTATGTCTGTACATCATGTGTTAATTTCAGAAGAAAGAAATGTGTACCTCTAAATAGTTGATTGATTAAAATAAACTTTCCACTGTTTAAAAAATTTAAAATAGGCCAGTTGCAGTGGCTTATACCTGTAATCAGTTTGGGAGGCTGAGGTAGGCAGATCACGTGAACCCAAGACCAGCCTGGGCAACATGGTGAAACCCTATTTGTACAAGAAATACACAAATTAGCTGGGCATGGTGGTGCATGCCTGTAGTCCCAGCTACTCGGGAGGCTGAGGTGAGGGGAACGTTTGAGCACTGGTGGGCGGGGCTGCAGTGAGCCATGATCGCACACTGCACTCCAGCCCAGGCGACAGAGCAAGACACTATCTCAAAAATAATAATAATAATAATTAAAATAGAAAATACAGAACAGTATGAAAAGAGACAATCCAGTTAACATTTTGCATATGTAAAGCTAGATCTTGTACCTATGCATATTGGCTTCTATCTGTTTTCCTTTACTAAAGAAAAAAATTTTTTTTCAAGATCTGCCTTAGCCTAGGTTTCCTCAAAAGCAGAGCTTCAGACAAAAGCTTATGGGGCTAATATTTTATTAAGGAGCACAACTGTGGGTAAGCAAGAATGAGGGAGACATGGGGAGGAGCATCAGGAAGGGGAGCAAGCACACGTGATGTGTTCTGAGCTGCCACATCTTTGCATCAAACACAGCCTGTTGCTAGGTTTTGCAGAGATCTGCAGAGAAGCTATATTAAACCATTGTAGCTCAGAATGGTCCATGGTTAAGCATCTATGAAATGCATGCAATAGTAAAACCCAAAGCACATAAAAAAAGAGTCCCTAAATCATGGTTATTGAAGACATATGGCCCATAGTACAGTACTAGGACAGTGTAAGAACTCTATCAATGATAGTTACTCTAAAAATGGTAGCCATTATATACACACACACACACACACACACGCCCCTGGAGTCATTGAGAGAACATTCTCCATGTGTTTGATTTTTATTTTGTCCTTCTTTATGAACTTTACACTTTCTTTTTTTTGTTTGTTTGTTTGTTTTTTTGATTGAGAGAGAAATACTTCATGTGTTTGATTTTATTTTGTCCTTCTTTATGAACTTTACAAGGCTTTCTTTTTTTTTTTTTTTTTTGCCACGCTCACCGTGCCGTTGTTGTTGTTGTTTTTTTGTTTTTTTTGAGACGGAGTCTCGCTCTGTGGCCCAGGCTGGAGTGCAGTGGCGCAATCTCGGCTCACTGCAAGCTCCGCCTCCCGGGTTCACGCCATTCTCCTACCTCAGCCTCCCGAGTAGCTGGGACTACAGGCGCCCGCCACTGCGCCCGGCTAATTTTTTTCTATTTTTTAGTAGAGACGGGGTTTCACCATGGTCTCGATCTCCTGACCTTGTGATCCGCCCGCCTCGGCCTCCCAAAGTGCTGGGATTACAGGCGTGAGCCACCGCGCCCGGCCTTACACTTTCTTTAAACCCAATCAAACCTGTAACTCTGAAGCATCCCTGATTTATCTCCCATTCATCTTCCATGCAAAACTTTAGTTAGTGCTAGGAGCTGTTTGAGACACTTTCATACATTCTATCTGACACAAATAATATTTGGAAGATTGATATTATTAACCTCATATTAACTATGAGGAAGTTGAGCCTCACTGAAGTTAAATGACTCTCCAGTTTGCAAAGCCAATTACTACCAGCATCAGAATCAACATTCAGGTCTTCTGATTCTGACTCTGGCCCTCTTTCCACTACATGGAAAACTGTCTTCCTCTGCACAATTTTTTCTTAGTAAGGTGGCCGATTATTTTTCCAATTAGAGCATCCCACAGCCTTCTAGCACACAGACACTGCAGCAAGAGGCAGCATAATCTAGTGGTTAATGTCATAAGCTCTGATTGATTGACCATCTTGGGTTTCAATCCTGGAAATTTTAGTCAAAGGCTGTGTGACCTA